GATTATGATATTGTCTACTTTGGGAAAAGAGAAAAGCAGTTAGTATTTTACTGCAGCTATAGCAACAACTACAGCTAAGCAGTAGCTGTGTGCTCATTTTGAAACTGCATTCTGTTCAAACAGCAATTACTACATATTTTTTTTTATTAGATGGTAAATGGATGGCTAGGAAATTCTCAAAATAGAAATCTGTAAATCCATTTATAAAATGTGACTGACAATCAAGAAGCACCATTTTAACAGCTGATTTTTTTTTTTTTTTTTTAAATTAGGCATTACAAAAAATGGAATAGGTCATTCTGTCTGGCTTAAACCATTTTGATTATTTTGTTAAATAAGGAAAGGGAATGTTCAATTTAATATGTGCAAAAGCTAATATTTACATTGTTCAGTATATAGAGGCAGGAACATATTAAGAGAAACTGAAAGAGGAAGAGAATAAACTGTTCTCAGGGTCTACTGTAGATAGAACAAATTAATGGGCTTAAATTGTAGTAATGGAGTCAGGTAAGGTATTGGAAAAAATCTTTCTAATGCCATAGCTAGGAAGGCAAGGGAAAGGATAGCACAGGGAAGTCATGGTACTACCCTCCCTGGAAAAGATTAACCCAATTTTTGCCAATGTTCATCTACAGTTGAACTGCTTTGGGACAGACTGTATCTCTTCAAGTCCTTTCCAGCCATGTTTTCTAACAGTTTTAATAAGGCTATTGTTAGTGATTTTAATCTCACACAAATTGCCTTTTCCACTTGACGATGCTGCTCTCAAGCTCTCCCTCAAGCACTTGTTCATGCACATTCCCTTGTTGTAGCATGAAAGCAGATCTCTGGTCAGTCTCGTGCAGGAGTACACCAGCATCATTCTCCAGATTAGATTAAAGACAGCATGCTGCTCTGTCACTGCAGCTTCTGCTCTTTGCTACCACGCTGCATTGTAAAGGATATGCTGATTTCCAGAAATAATACCTGCCACAGAGAAATCATGACAGAAAGGAAGAGATGAAACAGCTTTCTCCTTTAAGTTAACTGCTCTCTATTTTTATTTTTTTCCCCATTAAATACATAAGAGTTTGAAAGAAACCAGGTGGACGGCACATATAGAGCAGACACTGGATAAAGGTGGGATATGAGACTATCAGAATGCAATCATCCCACTCAATGCAGCGACTTGCTAACTAGTATTACATTGGAAAAGAAGAGGTAAGCACAAGGGAGGGAGCTGGAAATTCAGATTACACATTTAGGTTATGTAGTTGACATATAGAAAAATATTGTTTCCGAGAATTTTTGATTTAAACATTTCTTTTGCTGCAGTCCTTGCAGTACTAAGCCAGTTGGATCTCCTACCTTGAATATCATCACTGCCTTCAGGTTTTCTTCAGGTCAGAGGGAGAGAAAACATTTTATCAGAAAAGATATTCTTGTCCTATGCATTGTCACACACTTCTACTGAAGATGAGGTCCTTCAGCTACTTGCTGAAGTCAGCAATGCCTGTCAAACACAGCGTGCCGTGTAGCAAACTCCACAAAGAGAAACGGCAATCACCCTTTTCGATGCAGAAGAGGCAGGAGGGAAACATCACTAGCTAGACGGCTTGGGGATGCTCGCGTTGAGAGATTGGGATGAGCAGGGTGTCCACAGGTAGCAGAAGGGCCTTGTAAATCTTAGTTAGGTAGCTGTATGAACATGACTGAGTGTCAGCTAGAGAATAGTGCTGTAGGGGACTGCAGGAGTAATTCCACTAAACCACTGCTTCGAAAGACAGGGCTGGCTTAAAACTTAAATGTAGTATACTTACTGGAAAGTTAAATATGAGCATGTCCAGAAGTCTTAGGAAAAAAGAGAGGAAAGCCTAAGTAAGTAACACTCCAGCTGTTGAACAGCTTGTCGGAGAAGGAGAACTGGATCAGGTTTTTAGATCTGGCACATTGTCCTGGTTTTGTACATTAGAAGCTTTCATTTTATGTTATGAGGGAGGTGGCACTGAGAAATTACCTACCAACAACCCATGCGCATCCGTGTTATAAAAGCTGTGCCAGTTTGGCAGCCTGTTCAGAGGGCGTGGTAGACGGTTCGAGTGGCAGGTACAGAGAACCAGCCGGGGAGCTTGCTGTCCACCGAGGCTAACATGTCCACATAACTTGGGCAGCATTCCTTGAGCACCATGTTCATACTAAACCCTCAGCAGCTGAAGCAGCTGTGTGAAGTACAGGCTTAGATTAATACTAGAGATATCATTAAGTGAGAAATTAAGACGCTGAATCTCTCCCCTCCCTATCACTTCACCTACTTTTAATAGAATAGCTCCTCAACCACCTTCCCTGGGGGGAACGTCTACTTTATCACTAATTCTGTCATGTGTATTGTACTGGTAAAAATATTGCTGAAAATATTGGCTTGCTACATCTGTGCAATAAACTGAAAGGACTGAAAAGTGACAAATGTATTAAGAGAATTAAGAGTTAGTCAGAATAAAGACAAAAAGACACTTTTCTGCCATTTGCCCACTATGTGCGGCACAGGCTGTATCACGCACTGAAAGCCCTGACAATCAAAGCCTTGAAATTCTAGAACAGAAAGCCCTTCTTCCTCCCCATGAATTATTTGGGCTTATTCCCAAGTACTTTTTAAATAACTAGTTTAGCGTAAGATCTTACACACGTTAGCAAAGTTCTGGCAATCCTTCTATCAAATAACTATTGTGGATGATCTTCCTGTTTTTGTAGTAACATTAGGATTTAGTCCATAGAATCGTCAATTACAAACCTCGGTTATTTACTCACAGAGCACAGCCTAAACCCAAAACCCCAAAATGTTTCAAGCCACTTAAAGTAAGTATGGAAGAAGCAGGGTAAAAACTAATGAAAAAGTTTTAGGTTTCTTTTTTTTTTTCCTTTGCGATATAGGCTACATGTTCATTTTAACATCCAAAATTCATCTGTAAATGATCAAAACCATAGTTGAAACACAAAGCACAAAGGATTTACCTACTGAGTCATCAAAGTGCTTTATTTTATAAAGCCTTGCTCATGTTTGGAGTGTAATCTAAGCACTAACATATACAATAATGAGTCTTCCTTGCCCTGTCCAAATAAACAGTTTATCAACAAGAAGGAGTGACAAAACTGCTACACAGACAAAAAGAATGCTTTGCTGTAAATGTCTAAAATTGTCTAGAAATGTACACTTGTTGGTCGCAATTAAATATGTACTCCAAGTATGTGTACCTCTTTTTTGCTTCAGGGTCTCCCTATGGCCTCATACTTTAAGAAGCCACAGCATACTTCAGAAAATGAAACTTGGGTGAGAATGTAGACAACTGGGGTACACAGGGAGAGGACAAAAAAAATCAAGCCACAGTACCAACTTATTTAAATACATACAATACAAAAGTATACACATACATTACAGTGCTGCGGACATCACTAAGTCAAATGTAACAAAAAATCCTGTAGGAAGGTTGGGGAAAGGAGAAAAAAATTAGTTCACAGCAACAGGGATAGTATTGCCTTCGGCCGCTGAAGAGTGTAATGGGTTGCTATTGTATAGGCTCCTCTGAAGTAAACCACCACATATGTTATGCGCAGTTGCAGGCTTAACAGCACTGACATTAGTTATGGAGAAGGCATGCTGGCACTCCTGATTTATCAACGATGACGGGGAGCGTTTGACTTCTCTTACGTTGCCTACAAAATCTAACAATCTCAATAAAGAAACTTTAAAGGCACAGCTTTAGCACAGTGTATAAGTAGATAAACTTTTAAGCATATGTAAATTTGTCTCTTTCAAGCATGGAGTCTTTCAGGGAAAAATACAAGAAGAGAAGAAATACAATGTTGCTGTTTAAAAATTTTAAACAAGTTAAACATGATCAGCACAGTTTTAGGCAATGTACTATACAATCAAACTTGAGTAAATGGTAGGACAAGTCATTTTGATGCTAAAAGACGACCTTGGGAAAAACCCCTCTGAAATATCCTTTCTCATTTTATTGTAAAAGAGGCTATCACGGAGGTGGGTGAGACATTCACTTTAGTACACTACTGCACATTACACCTCAGAAGGTGACAAACATTACTTCATTTGTACTGCAAAATAACTTTACATGTAAACTCAAAAGTCATATATTGTACACAGCTCTGAAATTCAGAAATATCCCTGCTTTCCTAATAATGTAAACAGTAAAATTCAGGCTTCATTTTTTTGAGGGATAATCTATAATAAAATACCACTGTTGCAACAGTACAACATAAGCATTTAAACTTCAAATTCCCGGTAAATTACAAGGGAATGGAATTTCTATCAGTGTGCACATCTTTCAGGATGGGTGAAAGATGAAGCTACTATTGCCCAAAACTATGCACTTCTTCAGATAAGCTTTTTTCCCACTTGTAACAGTATTAGTTCCTATATTGCAAGAATATAAAACAAATGAAAATTTCAGGTAACAAAGTGAAATAAGCGAAGTTTTCCCTTAACATAAGTTTACTGTAGCAAAAATGTACACATAGCATGAATTATGTTAGCTCTATGTAAGATAAGAGATGCCGGCTCTCAGATGTCTGAGAGGCTGAACTTCCTGATGCAATGTGCTGAAAAGAAGACAAAAATGGGAGAGGGGAAAAAAAAAAAAGGAAAAAAATCCAACTGCTAGGAACCAAATGGGAAATGCCTCTGGCATCAAGGGCTGTTGCAGATGCTTTTTTAAGGAGTGCCAGTGTGCAGGGTGTAAGTGTAACATTCGTAGTAAGGTTTTCATTATTATTATCATCATCATCATGAAGAATACTGCCATGTATCTTTTTAGTTCAAAAAATAAACTGATCCACAGTTTACAATTTGATACCAATATTGTAGATTTAACATGCATTTACTCTTCCCTACCCCCACCCCACACCTCTTTGCTTGTTTATTCCGTTTCAGCTGGTAGCATCAGAGTATTACTGTCACAGTGCACTCTGAGTAAGCTGTTCTATTTATTTAATTTAATTTTTTTTTATTTTTTGCACACACAAAAGAGTCAGAAATAGCTAGAACTATGCTGGGAATATCAGGCAGCTGTTAAAGCGAGTACTCCACCCCACTTCAGTCATCTTTGCCAGCAGATGTAAACAAAGGGGATGCTTTCTGCAAGATGAGTGCTTCTCTGAGTTCTTTTTTGTAGCCACTGCTGCTGTCCCCAGGTCTCGTGTCTGTCCTATGTAACATGATAGGTTACGTCAAGATGTTGGCAATAAAGTCCAAGAAGCGCTTTGAATACTGTTCAGGATTAACAGTTGAAATTTCTGCACCAGCCTATACAGAGAATTGGGAGGGGAGAGGAAAGAAGGAAGAACCAGTGTTTTATTTGATGCTTTGTCACCGAGAGTGTTACTTACTCAATTAATTTCACGTGCAGTCTCAGAACCAGACACTAGAAACACAAACTGTAATGGCCCTCAAGCAGAACCTTACTGATGCCTTTTTAGGCTTCATATGAGTACAGCGATACTCAGTACTCACCACCGTAACTGCAGGACACCCACCTTCCATTTCTGAAATGTATTCTCTTTACCTCCCATACTTCACTTTCATTGTACTTCAGTCTCCTATATAATTTCTACTGCATACTTAACCATGCTACCCACTGATTCATCAACAGATTCTGGTCTGTTGAGCACCAGCGCCTTCATATAGAGAAGACTGAATTACTATACTGAGATCCGCCATGTCAACACTTGTGTAATGTATATTGCTATCTGAATGCTAAATAACCTGGTCTGAAATATAAGGTAACAATTAGTAACATTTTTTCAACATACATGCATTTAAATCTGGACTCTCTGAATAAGCTGTACAATTGCTATTTCAACGAAGTCACAATTTCATTCATATCTTTATTCAAGGTTTTCAGAGCCTTAGCCACATTTTTATGTATATTTTCCCTGTTTTACAAAAGGGGAAAATTGCATGCATGCAATTAGTGAACAAACTTCAGTGTCAGGTGGCTCAGGATGGAGACAACGAAATAAACAAAATGGTTGTACAAAAGTAATGTTCTGTAATAAGTTCCAATCACAGTCAGCTCTAATAATCATAGTTGTTATTCACAACATATTTCTATCCCCTATTTAAGCCAGAAGCGTGAGTTTTTAAAGTCTGCTACATTCAAAGTTCATTAATAATTGCCAGATAATGGCTGCATATGGTCTGCATCAACTTTCAGCTGCTCTGAGAGCAGAGAGTGTAATGAGAATATTGTTTTAGAGAGACAAAAAAATACCTTCTACAGGCCTGTGCAGGGTTTACTGATGAGCATTCCACATCACACTCCACTGTAAACTAAAAAGCCCTGAGCCCTTGGCTTAAAACCCCCCACAATGCTCTGATCCTTCAGATATTTAGACAGAGGAGGGATTTTAGCTTCATGAACAATTATGCTCTTTTTAAAAAGTTTACGAAATTTGAACCTTAAATCACCATAGGAGTGATAATGGTAGATAGAAATTGTAATTCTGGAAGACTGGGCTGCTTCACCATGGTTCTTTGGTGTCTGCTGCTAAGCAGCAATTTCAGTTAAAATAAAGAAATTCATGGCAGTCAAACAGAAGCCTTCACTGAATAGTCTTTGAGTATTTAATATGTACATTTTATGCTTAATTTTAGAAATAATACTTTTTTTTTTTTTAAAGAAGTCTTGTATGCTGAAGCACTAACTTTCGAAAGGTTGTACCAAAAAATGAAACCCTCACTATGGCTCTGCATCTGAAATGAGATCCACAACAGCTTTCACAGTGCTGTATATTAATACAAGTGTCTGGTGAACAGCTTTGTTTGCAAGAGTAAGATGCATCTCACAAATTTAGGACAAAGTCCTAAAAAGGCATCTCTCTAGAGCTCTTCACGGGTGAGAAAGCTATGCGTACAGCTGAAAAGGGAGTTCCACTCTCAGTATGTAACGTGCAGCAGTTACTCTGTACTTTCGTATTACATATTAAACCAAAAAAAAAAACCCAAACAAAAAACCCCGGAAAAAATGCTGATCTATTTCCCCTTTCCCTAGATTTCCTGAACTATGCTATATCAGTGCACTAAATAACAAAAACGCAGAAGTATAAATGGAATCAGAGTAAAAAAACAACCCAGATACTTACCCCATGCTTTACCGTTTTTGCAGCATGGGCAGCTTTCTTTTTTGCATCATAATGAGTAAGAATGTCAATAATGGCCATAAAGTATACTTCCTTCCTAGGTGCATCTGCAAATGGCAAACACATGGCAGTAAGAATGACTTTTGAGACATCTTAATCATGAGTCCTCCTTCTAACAAAGGAGACTTTATAAGGCTCAATCAGCAGCTAAGACAGGTTACTGTCAGTCAGAATCAGAGATCTGTAAGGACCACAGGCTCAAGCTGTCCTTAATTGAGAGTTTAACTGCACTCAAATACAATACAAAACCCCCTAAATGAGTGTAAAATAAAACACCCGCATACAGAAATAGGAATTATTGCTCACTTAAAGTAATGTGGATTTCATCTTCCTTTTTGGAAAAACTACAAAGTTTTATATGAAAGGTAATGCTTCTGTGTCAACAAACAAGATCTTGTTTTCTTTATGAATAAAAACATGTATTTATCCATGTAAATGCTTATGAAAAAAAAAGGTAATTTTCCTGTCCTGAACAGCCACAGGTAACTAGTTATACTTAGTTTTACATACTAACACCAAACCCAGTTTCAGGCTTCTTACACACTCCTTAAAATGACTTTCTTAGCTGGAACACAGAAATTGAGTATAAGTGCACAAACTTTCAAAAAGCAACCAAAAAAGTGAAATATAACTTGGAATGCTGCTAGACTGTTTTTAACAGTGTTATCTGCCAGGAAAAGAACAATTATAGATATTAGATTTCCTGAAAGGGATGAAAAAACCCATGAATTAACTGAGAACTGCTGTATCTGAATAGCTAAGCCAGTATACAATTTGATTGTGTAGGAGGTGAATTATTTGACTGCATCCCCACACATCAAAATATTTAAGAAATATGCTCATAACAATGCTGAGAATCATATATATCTTCTGCTTTCTGCTGCACCAAAGAGCAACTCATTTCCTTGTCTGCAGAATGAATTTATATTTTGCAGCTCAACTTTGCCTTTATGTGGCTGTGAAGACTTTAGGATTCTGGTGTAAGAATCAAAACATCTTAACATAAAAATATTTGTTACTGCTTACTTTCATGGGATTTTATTCCATAAACATCAATAGCTGGATCAAATTCCCCTGGAGCCAAAGGCAGTGAGCTGTTCAGCGTGTTTCCTGGACTGTCCGGAGGGGTTCCAATGGGGTGGGTCCCATCGCTTTCACCTTCCTCTTCTCCATCATTCTCTTCACACTCCACTTCTTCCTGTTCAGCTCTTTCAACATCATGAATTCCAACCAGCAAGCTGTAGTCCATGAGTTTTAACTGAGCAAGGAACTAGAAAGTGATAATAAGCAACTTATCAATATCACTGAAAAATGTAAGCTCCACTTATAAACAGGAAAAGTTACACAAAGATGTCATCAGTTGAGAAAAACAGGCACTTCAAAGAGACAGCAAAAGGGAGGATTAAGTGATAAAGCTCGCAGAGAGATATTTGAATTATTAAGATGTAGTAACAGCACACAGCTCACTTGCAACTTACATTATAAAAAATCATTTTTTCTGTAGTGAAGACTAGTTCCTGTGCGAGCCGATGACCATCACTCCTCGCTTGTGTTTCAATTAGGGCTATCCTGTCACCGCTCAACGTCCAGACCAGCCTTTGTGCTATCAGCCGTGCTACAATCTGGTGCTAAATCGGCCCCCTCACTCCCTTTTAAGCTTTATTAAAGAGTCATGAAAAAGTGTTCAAATATTCTTGCAGTGGAAAGTAGTGAAGTTTTACACCATGAAGACATGAAATGATGCTATATTCTCTTCACAATGACAGGCTCACAATTTAAATCACATAAGCAAAACGTGAATGTGAATGAAAGGGTGGTTTTGAATAAAGACTGAGGATGGGGGTTTTTAGAGAATGAAAAGATAAATACACTTTACGTATAGACAAAGTGTTATTTTAGTTGAGGGGAACAGGATAAGGCAGAAAGCTAAGAGAGAAGGATGGAAGTAAAGGAGGTGTAAAAGCAGAAAAATGGGATAAACAGTTCAAGGGGGTGAGGGGTAGGCAGGGCAGAGCTGTTCTGCAGTTTAAAAGCAATACTGTGATTTTGAACTTGTGGAGCCCCGGCTTACGGTATGCAAAGAAAAAGGCTGAAAATAAAAATTGCTTAAGTTTTCAGAAACTCTAAATGGTTATAAAAAGGAAGTTAGAACAGACCAGAGAAGAAGAGATTTAAGCCAGACTTTGGAACAGTGATAGAGATGAAAGAGATGAGTATAAAATACTAGGAAATGAGAAACTAGCTTGTCAAAATCCTGATTCTGAGAAAAGAGCGGAATCAGAGGTAACAAAGTGACGGTAAATTCAAGTGACAGAAAAAATATTGTGAGATTGAGAAGAGGTTTTAAGAAGAAAGAAGAAATTGGTTTCTGATCATTTCAATATAATAAAGCAAAAGACTCTTCACAAGACTAGAAGAGACCTAAGTTTGAAGAGATGATGTACAACAATATACAAGAAGAGCAGATGAGACTGGCGAAAGGCAATGGAGTGGAAGGACTCCATGCATATCACTACATACTTAACAAATACCGAGACAGACAGGAGAAAAATCTACCATAGTCATACAAAAAAGCACGAAAGAGAAGAGACTCTTGGGAAAAAAGTGAACTGCAAATTAGAAGAGAACAGCTCTTGGGGAAAAAAGAGTGCTGCTGCTGAGATCAAAAAGACTTAGAGAGATCAGCACAAGGAAAAAATCATCTGATTTAAAATGCAAAAAATACCCTTATGTGTTTTTTCTCAGGACATTTTCAATGGAATGAGGAGGCAGGAAAATAGACAAGAGGACATCAAAACAGCAGTAATAGATATTTGTCTGTTTGAACACAGGAAGAGGATGTAAGACGCAATTATGACAGAAATATAGAAACAAAACTTACTTAATGACAAACAAGAATGAATATAAAGTCATAATTTAGACTATTACTCCATAATATGTTTAACTATAAATACTGTGTGATAGATAACCATATGCTAAGTGTTGTGCATTTCTTTTCATTGTAGTAAACTGTAAGTATTTACACACTGGGTACAAAGTGTATACTATCATAACTATCTAACAAGGGCAGAAGAACCAATAAAAGAAAAACAAGGTTAAAGAACAGCTTGCCATTGTTAAAATCAGGTGCCAGATCACTTCACACTAGTGGTTTACATGGATATTTAACAATGCCCTGTATAAATTTCAAAACCATAAAAAATAGCCTCTCAAGACATGATCTGGAATCTGCCATTACATACACAATCCATTAAATGATGTAGAAGATCGCACATAATCCACTTCCTGGGGTAATAAAGTACCTTTCACATTCCTTGCACATAAGATATTGTCTGCAACCTGCTGACTGTAAAAGCACCAGTTAGCAACAGCAGTACATGTTAAAAGAGCACGAAACTTAAACCCAAATAAACCTATCTCTAGAGCTGTGACATCGGTAGAGCACTTTTCCAGCACAATGTTGTAAATATAAACACACATTGATATTTCACAAAATATTTATGTGTTTATAATTATCATCACCACAAATTTCTCATCATTATTATGATGAGAAATTAAATTTCCTCAAAAGCAAATTATTGGGTAAATTGTAAAGTTAGAGTATTTTGTTTTGTGAAACTAATGGGATATAGATCTGAAGAACTAGACAAGTCAATTCACAGAGCCATTTTGATATAAATAGCTGAGAGCCTTATTAAGTCACAGACACATTTTGCTATCGGGTCTCTTCCAACAAGGAAAGCAGATTTTCGGCTGTGAGTGTAAGGACTGCAAAATATTGGGTTTAGTGACATTATTTTCAATTATGGAAACTAAAGTCAAGCTGTGTGAACTAGTTAGCCCAATATTTATTTTCTTTTATTTGCTGAACTAAATCAGTTATAATAAAATATTACATTAAATTCACATATTAACACTTTTCAATTAAGTATTGACTATATTCAGCCAATTACAAATTTACATGAAAGGCTACATTAAGATAATGAGTTCAACTGCTGTATACAAATTACTGAAGCACTCTACTGTTGCGATACTAAGGATGATTTAAAACTGTATTACTAATATGAAAAAATAAAACATGCAGGCCTGTGAGTGGGGATGCTACATCCTCTGTTATGGACTACAGCCTGTGTATGGCCTCAGTTCTGGTCTACCTCCACCTGTAAAATACAACTAACAATACTCACCTCTCTCTCTGGAGCATTTGGAAATACTAGGCTTGTAAAGTGCTTACACACTAAGTAGTACCATCATTTTAACATCACATCATCAAGGCAGGGACAATGTATGGCAACCAGCTATGGCAGCAAGCCATTTATCACATCAGCAAAAGCAGTGATCAACTCCTGAAAGTTTAAATTGTGTTTCATTTAAAACAGTCAGTGCTTACAGTCTTATAAACAAGAGTTTTCATTAGTGAATTACAGGTACGATTTCCTGAGATATCTGTCATTTGCCACACATTTTCATTACATGTAACTGAACAGGCACATTCTTACCTCAACATCCTTTTTGAGTTTCTCAAGGAACATCTTTTTGTTATTCTCATCAATATGAATCTTTTGGCCGTCGTTAATAAAATCATTGTCTTTGAACGTCGGCAGCTCTTTGGCCTAAAATAAACCAAAACTCCTGTAAGAGCAGGATCACAAGGAGGAGTGTGGTGAAGCTGCTGGCCCACTGTGGCCCCCTTGCCGGCAGCGGCACCTCCGGAGCTCCCCTGCGCCCGAGAGGGCATTGCTGAGCCGCCTCTCCAGGGGAAGCAGAGGCACCTCCATCGCACGCAGCTCTCCATAACTGCACCCACGAAGCCATTGCCTTAGTTTAGCCCTCCTGTAAATGGTCTAGAAGGTATATGTTTACTGGGCGTGCAAAAAATGTAGCTAAGACAAAATCTCCGACTCAATGCTTTATTTGCATCAAGCTTCTTCCAAGATGTGGTTTGTCAAAGTGACTGGCAATAAGTGAAGTTGAAACACAATCTATACCTGATAACGAAGCGCTTGCATCAGATCTTATAGACAAAGTCAGACTGGATTGCATTTTACATAACTACTGTCAATGTTTATAAGTGCCTAATACCAAATAATTATTTGAAAGCATCAAGTGAACATGAATTATGAAATGCTGCTTAGAAGTGGCAAATACCAGAGAACACCACTGCCTTTTAAATACTTAATTAAATATCCTTGAAGCATTAGTTGATTATCTTCATCTTTAACTCTCCCATAAAGTGATTTGCAACAGCATTAAGGAAAGCCAGATAGAGTAACCACTGGATTCAGTACTAAGACGCCTCAAATGCGCTCTGTTTTCAAGGTGCAGTGACTGGAAGTTTACTTAAAAAACCCCAGCAAGCCAACAAACAAAACCGCAGATCCTTCAGGGTATTTGGTCAAGCAAACTAGAAGTAATAGTAGCTTCCACAATCAGACCCTTTAAAAAATTGGCCCATCAAGAGCAATGAACAGCCTTTCTCCCTGTCCCCTCCTTTTAATCAACAGTAGGGAAGAACAGGTTTTCTTTACAGAGAAAATGTTGCAGAACAACCAAGTGCTGCAACCCTCAATGACCAGGAACTAATGGGTACTTTGAATAAAATAATTTCCCCTTCATCTGAAAGTCCTTCTGCTAGGAATAAAAGGCAGCTAACATCAGCCTAATGGAATGTCCTCCATAAGTTTAACTAGTCAGACGTTGCTTATAACCTTACCGGAGATGGTATTTTTCATAAAGTTTCTTTTCCTTACTGTGTTGTAAGAAGAAAATAATCTCAGAGGTTCTTATCTCTGCTCCAAAACATACAAATCAGAAAGCACAGCATTAAAATGTTAGCGTCACAGCAGACCCTGAAATGCCTTCATAGGTGTTCACAATGACCAAAAGGTCTTATTGCTGTTGGGCTGTGCACAGAAGTGGCCGAAATACTCAGCTACCCAACTGTCCAAATTTATTGTTTGGACCTGGAATTCATGAATTGCTCAAGATTGCACAATGCTGCTTTTGTTTAGAAAAGTGACCCTTCTCTTCCAATAGCTGCTCAAAACCACTTAAGCGATTAGTAACATTTTAATAGTTATGAATCTATGTTAAATCCATTGCATCCTGACACCTATGAACTCTGGAAAAAAATAAGGTCCTAGTCTGGCTGCTCTGAATTATTACTGTGTTGCATCTAGAATATTCTGATATATTAAAATTCCCTCTAATAGAGACCCTCTATTTTAATTTAAAATAAAAGGAAAAAACCCCAAGTAGCTGAGATGGAGCTGTAACCATTTATCTGTCCCAGACTCCTTCCATGGACGAGTCATTCTGCAGTGCTCTGCTGCTTTACTTAAAGATGACTTTAGATACTTCTTGAAGCTCACAGTGAATTGTTTACTACAATATGACAGCACAGCATGCATCGATTTTCTCTCTGCCCTACTCAGTAAGTGGTTTAGGATGACAATGAGTAGGGGAAATGTCAGATAAGCATTCCAGACTAACAGCTGTAGAGATGATCATACACAATCAAGCAAACTGTCCCATGGACGAAGGCTAATTTTGCAGAGGCGGGACTGCAGAGCAAGAGATGTTGCCAACACCAGAGGATGGAATCCAGTGCGTGGGATGTTTAAGAATGGAAAGGAGGTTTGGATGAATTAATTTAAAATAAAACAATACTGAAAAGAATGGTGGAAACCAATCTCCCTGCATTTCTAGCTCAAAGTCACTAAAAAAAAAATCCTCAGATTATCTTTCCACCATGTATATCCAAGTTATTTATTAAACTAGGCAGAGGTTAAAGTGAAGCAAATCCATTAATACTGAAAAAATCCTCTATTAATGCTGTTTAAAGCTGTAGGGTGAGTGAAGAGGAAAGATGTGCTTGTGGTTGAGAAGCTGAGATGCAGGTTCATCTCCAGGCTTGGCCACAGAGGTCCTACAGAGCACAGCATCAGCTGGTCAGACCTGGTGGGTGGTGGGAGGGGGAAGTGTGCTTCTCCACTGAAGAGTCCTCTCTTCAGTAAAAATAAACTTAAATTACAAGCAATGTCTTTTTTGGAACATGCTAGAGCTGGTAAGCCAGTTGTGCAGGTGCCATACTCCACTTTAACCTTGTCTCTAATCTACTTTTCATAAAAGTGAGCTAGGAAAGCTGACACAACTGCATTTCTTTCCTGCCATCACAAGACCCAAGGGGTACTCCCAAGGACATTCAGGATACTGAATCAGCTCTCCCAAAAAGCCAGACTCTCCTCTGCCTTGTGTGCAGGCTACCCCAGTAATAATCTCTCTTAGTATTTTTATCTGAGGTCATTTCACCCAAACGCTTGTAGTTGTGAAGACTTGGCAAGTGCAGAATTGCTTAAATTAAAAGCCAGTACCGAGGCACATGAAGAAAAAGGAAGAAGTAAAAGCGGTGGCTCCCATATAAGAAGCTGAAGCTAAAAACCTACATGCCAGCAGTTGCCCTCACCATATTATTTGCATGATGCCTCCCACTCTATTCTCTCCTCTCTTTCTAGGTGTTACTAGACAATGCTTTTTCTTTGGTGTGCTAGGCAATAGCATTCTCCCTATTTATTTAAATTGAATAGCCCCCGGATACTGTTGCAGTCCCAAATATTACTAGTGACAGTCAGCACTAGTAGTGATTCTAGTAGTACTTTAACTGAAATTCATGTCTTAAAATTGATTTGTGAATTTAGGAATTAAAACCTGTGAAATATATGACTAGGAGGGGCTTCTGTAGTTATTCAGAATTAAAAATATATGTGTTCATGTTGAAAAATCCTAATATGTACATTTTCTTCTTATGCACTGAAATAAATAAATACAAAGAAAAATGCATTGTGGCAGTTTGAAACGCTATCTGAATGAAAAAATTGAGATTTTGCTTTAATGAAATAATTGATACAGTTAATTTTTAATGAAGTCTCAAATATTTCCAATGAAGAAAAATCCTTGTTGGAAAAAGATTCTGCTAGAATGTAATTCATTATAATGAACATATTACTATCATTAAAGAACTAAATATTTTAAGAGCTGCACAGGAGATGAACATCTAACTACTTCCACTAAATTAATAATAGATTTTCTTTCTGAACCATCTCCATCGTTTTTAATCCCCTACTTAAAGATGCAAGAAAGGCACAATAGATTTTACAAATATGAAGTATTTATTTATTAAACAAACATGTTATTTGCACACTTCAGGTTTGCATTCCAAAGTTTGCCATGGTGACAGAGAATTTTAATGGCAGGAAGATTTCACTGCCTTTGGAAAGGTTGAAAAAGCAAAAAAGATTTGTTTGACAAAGATGACAGAATGTATAAAGCCTGATTAAAAACCTAAAATTATAGTGAAACAGCCCACTGACACCGATTTTGGGGGGAAAAAAAAATCTTGAAAGGTAAGAACTAGGTGCAGTTTTATTTCTATATGAACATGGAAATAGTTTTTGCAGATTTCTTAACACATCTCAATTCAGCATCGTATTCTAATGTGTTGAAATGAGTATTAGTGATCCTATTTTCTAAAGGGATCTTTGTGCATCATGACCAAAAATAATGATCATGGTTAACATTAATGCCGATATTTTGGAAGAAGCTTGCTAAAACAGTTGTAGGAAAGTTAAGTTTCAGAATAAGTCTTGGACTGAAAAAAGAAAAAGACTAGTTGTCTTCAAACCTGGCAGCAATTTCTCACCTAACAAAGACAAAGATTAGGTTGTAGGAGAAATGTTGCATAGCAGTGTTATTGTTTGTTTGGAACTAGCCATTAGTCATGTTATTCACACAGCTAATCATGGCAACATTTGGCTTACAGTTTATAACTTTTGAAAATGGTACAAAACATCTGCCAAGAGTGAAGTTCCACACCCTGGGCTTCTTTTCACAGCAAATGGCTCACACACCCTCTTCTTTTTAAAAATTAAATAAGTTAGATTAACTTTAGACTGACTGGACTCACAGCATATATGGAAGGCAGTATTTAAAAGAGAAAGGATATAATGCTAAATATAGTTGGCAATAATTTGGCACAGGTGGTTTTGAACTGAATCGAAAGTCTGGAGTCACTAGATCTACAAGATGGAAGAATAACCAGAGTTTTCTTTGGAAGGCTGAAGATTGCAGCTTCTTCCCTCCAGTAGTTATGGGAGCTGGGTACAAACTTCTGTTGTACAATTTGCCTTGTGCTAGACAGGGCCTTCTAGCCAAACGAGGGTCTGAAGCTCCACTTGGCATCACAGGACTGTAAATGTCAATGGAAATAGAGCTGTAACCCAAAATGGAGTTTGAGAGAAACACTGGAATGGTTTTAGCAAGTATAACAGGCATCTTTGTATGACAAAAAAAATTGTGCAGGACATCGCAGATGGATTAGGAATTTGAGCATGTACCAAAGTAGTAACTATACACTTTTTCAATGCTCAGGGAAATGCATCCAGAATTATCCCTAGGGTTAACTTGTTCCTGCTGCAAATGAACATGCAACATAAAGCACAAGACAAAGCTCCACTTCTATTTTTTTTTTTTAATCTTTTAACATACAGAAAGCAGACTTTTAAACAAACAAACAAAAAAACTCCCAACCAAAGGCAAACTAGTGATTTGTTTTGAAAACCAGTAATGGGGTTTGTGTCATATGAAGGCTAAATGCTGATATAGGAATGTCTGAGTGAATACCACTCTGAATGTCTATTCCTCTTTCCAAGGCATTGCAGTGTGATGTTTTGAAAGTTATAAACTCTGTATATGCAACCTTGAGATTCATTTCACAAAGAAATCTAAGACATGCTTCACATGTCTGCTGTGTGAGACTGGCATATGAAGCAGATTGAAATCACTAAGAGAATTAAGTAAAAAAAAAATGCTGTTCTGAAATTAGCAACTTTAAAACAGCAGGAAAAAATAGCTCAGATTTTGGGATGCTCTACCTTGAATGAAGTTTTACCTATTGACATCAAGAGAAAAAAACTAATTCAAGACTGAGTAATCTTGTTGCTATGCTCCTATACTAAAATCCTTCTTCCTTTAGTTATAATTGTCCTCTCAGAAATCAGTTAATTACTGTATGTTGTAATATATAATATAAAAAGTAAAGCTACGAAGTGATTTGTTATATCTAATAGCATCTTCCAATCTAATTATCAGAGCTATGTATTTTGCATACAATTTAACTAAGATGTAACATAACTGTCAACTATGGCAATTTTTTTCCATAAAGGAATTTGAATAGAAAATCCTTTGTTTGAATGTATTTACTGTAATTCTTCTGCATTTATGCTTATTTATGAAACAACACATACCACAGAGATGGCAATGCAACCAGTTTTACATTAATTTAAAAACATTAATAATTGCTGAAATTGCTCAAGAAAGATGAAATATGGTGGGTTTCAGTTCAGTTACGTTTTATTTTTCTTCTTCAAATTTCTTTGAGTTCCTCACTCAGAAGTAACATGTTTAAACTCTTTGTAAGTACAGGTAGACTCAGCTGTAACTGCTAATTTGATGTCATACTGCAAGTATAGCATAATTGTGAGCAGGCAGACCACCAGGGGAGTTCTGCATTATCCTGGTTTCACTTAAGAGGGCAAAATCATTCAAGGAATGAATAGAAAATGCCCGCTATTAAAAAAAATAAAAGAGAACTAAAGCCTAAAAAAAAAGGAGTAGCTGTCAGAATTTGACAACTGTTGAAACATACTGTTCTTTTAAAATTCAAGACATCTATAAGTGCATGTTATGATACCTGTTGCCAAGAAAGTGATTCTTTTATTATTAAATATATCACTTATAATGCAAGTGAGAGGAATTGTGTGTAAGGTGAAATCTAAGGGATGGAGCTTGTCTCCACACTGATTACCACAAAATATTGAAATGACAGTTTCAGAGCTTCTCATCAATATGTTAGGATATTAAACAGCTGAAGACAGTCAAACAGGAGATAAACTGAATACAGGACAGAAAAGTAACATTCTCAAAGTCATTCCAGCCAGCTTTTATTCCTAAAAATTGATTTTAAAAAAAAAGTTTTAATACTAATACCTATTTTACACTACAAAACTAAAGCAGAAAAATAGTTTTTTCCTGGTTTCTTATTTTAGAGTCCATTAAATCTGTCTGCATAATTGTTTCTTTTTTATTAACTGAGTAAATAACAAAAGAGTAGTTTGATAGGAAAAAGATTCACGAACATAATTTTAGCCAAGTTTGCCATTTCAAAGTAATTTATCTAAATTTTGCAGTCTGCATTAGAATGTGACTGAAAGACTTGCTCTTCCGTTTTCTGGCTTCTGCAGCTTTAAAAGAAGCTAACATATTATGCTCGATATTCTGAAAGCCATTTGATTACTTGAATATTAGCATTTGAAATTAAATATTAATTACTTAAAAGCCCATTTAAAAACTACAGTATTACCAGACATTTTAGCCATACATTTTAGCACCAAATGCTTCCTGTCTTCTGTTACTTTTCTGTTTTTCAGATGTGAATAGCAGTGGACACCTTTATAATAAGTAATTAAATAATGCTACCATTAACTGAAATTCTACTATTATTAATGTCATTTCAGGGCGATATTAATAAATTGATGATTTAACTTGCCTCTGGCTAAAAACTAGCGAAAAAGTTACTATATCAGCTAAGTACTTGAGATCGTCTGGTTTTGTTTAATCATTCATAGCAATTTCTTCTAACATAAGAGACACCAAAATCTCTTCAGAGCATTTGCTAAAATGCCTTTTTTTTTCATCACCCTTTTCAAACTAAAATTTTCCAGGCATTTTAACATCTTTAAGATTGGCTTGAGATTCCCACAGAAGACAACAAACAAAAAGTTTGAAATACTGACATCTACTTAAGAGAAAATAGAAGTGAAAAAACATGCTACAGGGCTCTCACTTGCCAGTTACGAATAACGGACCATTTACATACTTATGTCAACACAGTCCTCATGGTCCCCAAATCAGTGCCACACGTGCAGAGATACATGTCATGATAGCAGGTCTTTAGCATGGCTCAGTTTCAAAAACAAACTTTCCTTGTCTATTTGTATAAATACATGACCTCCTTTTTATTTAAGCTGTGCATTGGAAACACCTGAGTAGTTTAGATGAGTAAAGCACTGCAGTTCTAATGCCTATTGCAGGGCATTCAGATCACAGTGATAATGAGTGCTCTGAACATCTACAATACAGACACATGGCAGTGTATTCTTCTGACCCTTTCAAATCAAATGGCAGACTCTAAAACTTAAGACAAAAAAAAAGTAATAAGCAAAATACTATTTTTCCCTTGCTTGAATTCCTAAGAATCTTTCTTAGAGTGTTTGTAAAATGCTGTTCCCTCTATGAACTTATAAGTTCAATTAATAATATGATATATAAATAATAATATATAGATATATAATAGTATCTAGATATATAAATAAGAACAATAAGTTCAATAAGCTCTACCCAATTAATTCCCTTTCTTAGCAATGTTTGTCCTGAGTGCTAGCTTGTGGCTTTCCTGCTGCACTGCATTGGCGTTTGAGGGGAACAATGAGTAACAGAAGGCTGTTCTAACAACCTCAGACTGTCTGCTTGCAACATCAATAAGCTTAGTGTAGTTCTGTCTCCAAGAAATCAAATTCATTTGAAAAGAAAATAATATGTGAGATTGAAAATAGTGAAAGAAGAATTTGAGGGCCCAGGTTTTTTATATTTCTTTCATAGAAGTACTGAAAATAAAAGGGGAGATTCTAGATGTGTTGAAGTTGATAGGAATTTTTGTTATTTGCCTTACTGAAGTTATGATTTCACATTAAATTTAGAGATAAATTGTTGTATACAGTTATACAAAACTACACAACTTTTTTAAACCTAGCTATAATCAAGTTCAATAGTAATTTTGCCGTGAACTTACATGGGAACAAAATTAAGGCACTGTTTCTTTGGGGTTGTCACTCCATGTATTAACTACAGTATGTGTGTACTATTATATTATTAATCTATTTATTATTATAAGAAATATTCCTAAAACTGCTCAAACCCACTGTACTTAGTATCTGTATAGTATCAGCTCCTGTATAGCTGAATATATGTAATTAGTTAAATTTTACATTCCTATTCCAAGCATTAATGTTGCAACCTGAAGTAGTCCCATCCAAATAATTTGCCCTCCTCATTTCTATCAGATTATTTTAGTACTACCAGCAGAGGTTTTCAATGACACTAGGTATTGTTTGTAAGACACTGAAGGGTTAAATCCCTCTGCTTTAAAAACACTAGAGTTGTGCTACTAAACAAGAACAAAAATAGACCAAGAAAAGAATGGAGAGCATTCAAGACATGATCTTGAGGGCCTGGTACAGCAAAAGAGAGCTAATGCTGACTACTGTAACTGCAGTTGGCATTTGGGACATGGTAGTTGCCTAATGCTGGAAGAATTGTAAGTGTTCAGTCATACCTTAGGATGAAATGGAAAAACTTTGTGCAAAGTTTTTCATGCAGCGAGAACTGTAGGACTGACAGCTACTGCACGTCCCTTACTCCTTAGTGCAGTTGCGTGATCTGTAGAAAGACTCAGAGGCAGGTATGGTACAACTAATGCTTGGGAGAAAAACACATGATCTGAATGGAATTTGGGGACAATATAAAATGAAGTCTTTTAAGTGAACTGCTGGATGATCTTATGCTAATTCAGAAGGAATGTGCTTGGAAAAATTAAGAAAACAAAGGTTATGGGTTCCCAGAATTCACCCAAATTTGGAAATCTAAGAAGTCTCGGATGATGGAGACTATGTTCCACCTTCAATTATCTGTAGAATCCCTAGACAAGCCTCTCCTAAAGTGCGATCAGGCTATTTCACTGAAACCTCAGAGAAGTATTGATTTTGAGAACATTAAATTTTCCAAATGAACTGAAGTTGGAGATGGAGAAAACCAAAGTGATTAATTTCCTTTTAGAGCAAAGTTTCAGCCCAGAATGTGAGGGAGACTCTGTCTCATTATAGCTATATGTACATCTGTCAGTTGTTTGCTCATCTGTATGAGCTTTACATACCCAAATGTTCTCACAATTCAAGGTTTGCTTTATCTTTGCATTCAGTTTAGAACTGGTGCTGTCATTCATGACAGGTGCCATGCTACATCATTCTATTAACTGACATGGAGTATTCATAAATCTCAATATTAAAGAGCAAGAGAAAGAAGATGAAGAAGCAGAAGGGAAGTGAAGAAAGTCCTGATGTTTTCCTACCACAGGGCAGGCCCTGAAGAAACTAAGAAGAGAAGAGAAAAAAGGAAAAGGAGGAGGTAGAAGATTGTCTCACTTACCTCTGAAATCTCAACACCATTGCAAACCAATATTCAAAGGTCTGCAGAAAATAGAGGAAAGATAAAAGAGGGAATAAGGTAGAACTCAAGAGGGGAGAATATGACAGAAAACAAAGAAAAGGGGCAGAACACCACTGGTTATTTTTGTCCTGAGACTAGCTAGCAGGTTAGATAACTGAAAAAGAAACAGAAATTCACCATACCTTTTCTTTGTCACTGGCTTCTCGAGCCACAGTAGAGCCCTGAAACAGAAAAAATGGATCTAAAAATGTGCATATGTCAGAAACTAATTTGAAAAGGTTACGATAACAGGTCAAAAAGTGGATGAACTGCATCCTTCTGAACTTGAGAGCTGTTTTAAAGAAAGGTGATACAGTAAGCAGGTAGAATGCCCAGGGCTGCTGAACTGCTGCAATCGCTTGAAGATGATGTATCATGAGAGAAGAAAGATAGATTAAATCCTCAAATGCTCTATATCTATTGTCCTCCTGACTGCTGGAGCTTCTTCCTCTTGTCTCATCCTCATTTTCAGACTATCATCCTGGAAGTTCAGCTTTCTTGGCACACTTCCTATCTTTTTGTGCCAATTTAGCTGTATGGTTATGGAATGGCCTATTCTGTATAACTATTTGGACATATAATATTTGAAAGGGATGTCACATAATATAAACACATAAAAATATTTAAAAGATCACAAAGTAAAACAAGAACAAAGCACCCCACAGCAACATGAAGTCAAAAGAAGAGATGAGACCAACTGCAGATTCACAAGATTTACAGGGCTTGCTGAAGACATTTTGGATATTTAATTTTTTTTTTTAAAATTTATTTCTTAGCTTAAAACTAGTAGGCAATATGGTGCTTTTTGAATAAGCTGGAGGTGACAAAAAATGGCTGTATATATTTCCTTGCAAATTTCTTGGAGCAGGACTGCACCTTTAAGTACCCAGCATTTGTTTATCACATAATAGCACTGCAAGAAATAATAACTACAATCATGATAATTGGACATTGAAAGATGGGTAAATTAGCTCTATCATTTGTTGGAAGGTGTGCACTGTGCAAAGAAGTGCTGGAGTAGAGTCATACTAGTTTAAAGAACATGAGGATTCCCAACCACATCTTTTTATACTATGCTTTATTCTGTTTGTAGAGTGAAACTTAGAAAACTTAGAAAGGATAGAGAGAAAAGAGAAATGGGACAGTACATCTTAATTATGTATGGCCCGGTAAGCAGGGATTTCATTGCATTATATCGTTAACTGACAATAAAGCCTGGTAAAAGTCTGACATTTTAGTTTACTGATGACACACCTTTTACATTGTAGTATGTGCTCCAACAGACTGCTCCAAGAGACTACTGAGCCTGAAAAAAATAATCTGAAAACCAAACTGGAGGAAAAAAGTGGATTTACAACAGTAAAAATTACGGAGATTGCCAAATTTGTCACTGAAGTAATTTTAATAAAATGCCTCAGTTACCAGGAAAATGCCTTTGCAATCCTATGCTGATCTGTGGTCTCTTTTTCTTAGTATCTACACAGGTAGAGTGTAAGCTCTAAGCTGATGTCAAAAATATTCACGTACAAAAAAAGACCAAACCTACAACCACAGATGCTGTAGCAATGAAAATCAAGAAAAAGTGATTTTTATACATATATATGCAGTGTCACTATAAATCTACTCAGTGAAGGAGTTTGTTTTGAAGAATAATATGATATTGATGTTAGATTTAAATTGCAAGAGAAGTTTAAAGCAATTCTGTCCAGCTGGACAAACTGAATAGAGTACAAAAGCATTTGCAGAGGTAAATAATAGTTCGGTTGACATCAGTGCTATGAAAGTACTGTATACCATTTAAGTTTCTTTCTGTTGTGTTTTCATCCCTTTTTTCATGCATGCTCTAAAACACATACAGTTCTCTCAAATTAAGAAATTATCTTTCTCGGGTAAGGTCTGCTGCCAATAATACTAAATACCAAAAAGTCTATTGTTGACAATCTGGAAATCAGTTCTTATAAATCACATTCAGTCAACTATCTAACCAACTGCTAGGTAGATACTTGACAGTAGGAAAGGATGGTGCAGTACATAGCATTACAAATCTCTTAATACAGAATGCTAAACATCTCAAAGCAAGTTTGCAGATGCACTTAGTGGTTCAACAAATAGAAATTAAACGTATTAAAAAGAAGTAGGTTTATAAGGGGAGACTTTATGGAGGAAATTAAAATACAATCCTTTAGGTAGAAAGACTAAGACTATATTTTGTGCATTTGTTGTAAGTACTGTATATTAACTATTAGCAAAATTACGATAAGCAGATAAACCTTCTGAAACAAAACTAAAACACACCTTATGATAAAAGCAACAGAATTTTTTTTTTAAGAACATTCTCTTATTTACTTGAATTATTTTTAAAATACAGAATGAAATATGAAGCTTTTGTAGTATTGATGTCCTTTGTTGGTAGCATTTTATTGGTTTAAATGATGATGATACTTAGTTATTTTATAAAAGCCCTCTGCAGAATCAGCTGTGGCTTTCCATAATGTTGATAACCTATAGGAAGCAGAATTACTATTGTACTTGTGTGAAGGGTTTTACCTTTAATCGTTAATTACATTTAACACACATACCTGGTTAAGTTGCTCCACTTAAAAATGCACAATACAAATAAATTTGTACGATTTCTATAAAACCATCCTTCAGTTCTGCTAAACCTAGATGCAGAAGTAACCAGTTAATGCTGGCTCTTCCATAACACAATATTAAATTAATTAAAATTCTGAGCAATATTCAAGCATGAGCATAATCTAACATTTATAGTAAAAATTTTCAGCTACTTTGTCAGTTATTTCATCAGCAGTTATTTCTCACCTTTAAATCATATTTTCTATACACAGATAAACGATGGCTGAACACATTTCTTGTAACAATCATATATACTTCAACTCCATCAACAGTAAGCCGGTACATGCCCAAAAACTGGGGAAGAAGTGTGTTCCCATGACACTCCACAATAAACTGCAGGAGCAAAAGAAAAAACAGAAATGAGGATGGATACATAATATATTTATATATTTTTAAACATAAAACACCCAGAAACAACATATTTATCTGCTGAATATATATTTGTGTGGAGACAAACCTTCAAAAAAATCATGCCAAAACAAACCCCTTCATCAGGAGGTTATCTTGCTTTTAGGTCAGTGTTAAAAAAAATTAAAATATTGAACTGCTTAACTTATAACTCCTGACTTCTATAGACGATCTCATAGAAAGAATAGGCTCCATTTGGTCCAAAAAGCACACCTAATGCAGATAACATATTTGGTACTGATGATAAAAAACAGAAATATTTTTTTGAACATCACAATGTTGTATTTTGTACTCTGTTGTCCCAGATGATATTTAATTTGTATGTTTCTCTGTTCTCAATAACGGTTTATGATTATGAACATTTATGGTGCTGTCTCCGACAATCAGTATTATTTATTAACACCAACTTTCTGCTAGTTCCTACATGATGGTTGCATTTCAGGGTCAATAGCGTTCAGCAGTGAAATGCAACATTCCTGTATTTTTTTTATTTACGAATCATTATATTTCCTTAAGGTTACCATATTCCATTACAAATGGGCTATTAACCTTGAAAAGATTTGCCACCTGCACTTGAATCCTTTTTTTTTTTATTAACTTGCCTTACAACTAATAGTTTGATTTTCTATTGGAAAGACTATTGGAGGAAGCAGAAAAAGTACAGGTTACATTGATGATGAGACTATTGAAGAATGAATATTTCCAGAATAAAAATGCCCATACTGTATTAATCCTAAAACCAGCTCAAACACATCCACTCATATTTTGTGGAACCAAGGAAAAGTTAAGCCACAGTGATGCAAACCAGAAAACGACTCGCCAGTCCTCCTCTTTCTGTTATTACCAAGTCTCAAACAGAGGAACTTGAAGAAAATTTAAAAATTCAAGCCCCAAACAGGAAACATGAAAACTAACCAACAGTCAGCTTTTAAAGCAGATCAGCTTTTAAATATTTGTTGAATACCGAAGCTGCTGTTTCTTTTGTGCTAGACCGACCTCGTTATCAGAAACATACTATTCTAAAATACAGGAGACTTTAGAACAAGTTAATTAAATAAGCTATTTGAATTGTTCAACAAAGGTAATTAGTATTTAGTAACAAATAATCTAACAAAGCTCTTGGAACCCTGGAGATTTTGCAATTTTGGTCTCTTCTGCTAATTTTAAGGAATTTCTCTCACTAACTTTATACTGCAATCTGCGCATACCATATACAGGCTTTTTTAGATAGCAAAATAAAAATACAAAGATTTAAGAGTCCTGAAAACAATCCTGTCCATCAAGAAACAAAGGGAATGAACAACAAAGAAGGAAATTGTTGACTGTCAATTGAACATAATTTTGACTAACAACTCTGACACACAAACTCTGTTGAATCTTGCGGGCACAGGTTGGGCTGTAACACTCCTTTCTGTCCGCCCTGTAGCTGTAGTGGAAGTTACAAGCCCTGAAGCAGAGAACATGTAGTTGTGACACAGTTGTGCCACTTCACAACGAAGCACTTTTAAGTTCAAACTGCCTATGAATGGGCAAAACATCTTAAGCCACTGCAGAGGCTCAGGGAATGCAAATCAGAACCTTTGGAAGGAAACATGATTGTATGCCCGAAAACACAAAGAAGTTTGACCGTAAAAGGTAACAAAAGCAACGTCAGTCCTGAGCAGTGCACAAAGATTGATCAGTTTGCACCTGGGAAGAATTCTGTGTTTAATAGATGCAGAAGTTTTAAGTTGGAGTTCTTGAATTGGACGATTTTCAGTCATAGGGCTGTTACCAACCTCACAAAGCAGTTACAATGTGTTACAAGGATACATAGCTCATTTTGACCATCAGTAGCTTCTCTTACAGATCTGAGCATAAAGTGAAACTAGAACTGTTAATGCTGAGGTTACAGAAAACTTGTTTAAAATACTAATCCTTATTAGTCAACCTATATTGATTACCGTTACAAACATCAAGTACTTGGTCTATATCCTAACGGTAAATACCTTTCTAATGCTTTATAGAAGGTGGAAAGGGTTGTTCTCATAAAAACATTTACCAAGTGATTCCTTCTCTAAGATGATTAGGTTCTGCAAGGATGATAAAAAAAAAGGAATCTAGCTTCCAAGAGTTTAGTGCCACAGAATTTCAGGCCATGCAACTCTTGAATGGATCTAGTCATTCCTAATCTTACAGCTTTTAACTACAGAATTTGAATTAAATACTATGATGCCAATTTTCCATATGGGGATCTGAGACACAGAAACTTTATCTGAAATCATACAGAGAGTTTGGGCCACATGAAGGATCGGCAGCTAGGCATCTTCAGTACCAGACCAATAACCCCCTCCCCTTCTCAGCTGCCAGGGTCACAGTTTTGACACTTAAACCAGCTCTTCTTCAACCCTAGCTATTGCTAACTCTCTGATTTTAACCTTTCTGGTCCTGAGCGTCCCCCATCTGTAAAACACAATGTCATTAACACAGAACATTTGCAACATACCCACTATAATATAAAATAAATCCTTTGGTAATCAGTATACAACCCCTTCCCAAAGTGTTCTGTATTACATAACAAGGAAAAAAAGGCAATTAATGAGAGTTGTTTAAGCCCTATTTGTAAGTTAGAGTTAGTCATTTGCTAACACTGTTGTTTCATTTTAATGTTTTGCAAACAAGCCTTCTGAAAGGACAGTGTTACTAGCATACAATATGGGACACGAAAAGCTCTGCTAGTACTGCCCTTTACTTGAAAAAGGGACTTGGCCGTGTTCTTGCAGACTTGTAAGAGACCTTCTCAAAGCAGACCATGTACTGCAACAGTTGTTTCCTACTTGCTGCTGACTGTGGACACTCATGCCATTGCAATTTAAACAAAAGCCCCTAAAATGATTTTGGTGTTTTCCATGACAGCATTTCTTATCCTGATGGGGAGACAAAGGAAAGAGGGAGGAATGCCACTTGCTTTCAGCATCTACAAGGTTGGTCTAGAACTTCCTACCTTTGAAACTATCAATCCCCCATATCTGCATCACAGAGGAGGCAAAACGTGTCATCTGTTTGGGTGGGAGTCCAGCAGGACTTGCACTGGTGACTGTGGTTGGCAGATTTTCAATTTGTCCATCTTGATATAAATGAAGTAGCAATTTAGTCACCTCAAGGTGCTTTTTAGGAATGATTTCCTGAAGTTTCCCACTCACAGCTGGAATAAAAGTGAGCCTAGAAAATAAGCCAGTACATGCTTAACAGGACTGCTAAATTTCAGTGAAAGAAAAGACCTTCACTCCTTTATGTTAACTCTTTCTAAAAAGAACATTAAACCAATTCTATCAAGCATCCTTGCTAAATAAAACTGTAATACTTAGCTAATACATTTACAATCCTTATATGCAGCAACAAAATCCATCTTTTTTAAAAGTGTTGTAATAAACACCTCATCATTTTTTATTAATTCAGACAATTTTCATTTTTCTGCACAGCACGAGGACAATATTACCATTAACAAAATAAAGTATCATCAGCATGTTGACATATTTTATCAGCTGTGCAGCATAGGTTTCAAATATGTAATTTTCTGAGCTCTCTTGAAGCCCATGCTTAAAGCTGACAATTAGTAAGAAATCCTTTATGACCTTATATTCTCGTTAATTTTTGTATAAATACAGCTTCAAGATTCCTTAATAAACTTTTATTAAGACAGAAGTTTTCCTGTCTCATTTTACATGAAAAATAAGATTCTTAGCTTCTTGCTTCCCCATGGTAATGCTAGTAAGATATCAGGATGACTAAAGGATAATATAATGTATATAATTTATTGGCAAAGAAGTTATGCCATTTTTGGCTCTTTTCGGAAAAACTCAGGGTAAAATTTTCATTTCTGCTATTTTTCCTCCTCCCCTTGGAGATAATCTGTGGAATGATTTGACATCAGTAAAGACTAAATCCTGAATTATATCTCTCGGTTCTATGTGAAAACTTAACATTCCTATTTCTCACAGGTAGTCCTATTTTGCAAACATTAATGCAGAAATACACAACATGCTCATTCTCTGTTACTCTTTTATATATTATTATTTTCTACCTCATGATCAAGGCAGTCATGCTTGAATTATCAAATGCTTAATGTGACAAGTCTATACATTCACTAAAGAAACTGAATGGCAAGCAATATAATAATTTAAAAACATTTTGGACATTGTGAAGGACAAGACCTTGATACTCATTTTTTGGGCTCAAGTTTCTCTTTCAAATCCTCTTGCCTGCAATCAGAAGTATCCCCCACCAACGTGTTGTGTGCATACATGCTGACATGTGGAATCACTCCCCAAAAATGACGTTGAGAAGTTGTCCAGATTTATATCATGTTTCAGAATATTCCAATTAGTGCCATTTTCTTGAACCCTAATAATTTCACAGAAAATTATCCATTGGGTACTTACGTGACACATCAAAAGGATTAATTAGCCGAACTACAGCACACAACAGAGTTACACATTTTTAAGGCATATAAAGCCGTTTTCTTCTCTTAAGTCATGTAAGAAAGTAATTTCATTTAGAGAAGTGCTCAATAAACATACAGGTTTTCACACAGAAGCCCTGTAATTCACAGCCTTACATTTCATGTTGTTTCAGACTTGGGCTAGTGTTAGTTTTACTTCAAGGTGCAACGTAATCTAAATGTTACCACCACGGGTGATTATCTAGGCTGCAGATCTGCTACCAGGAACATTATACTTGGTACTGCTACAATCAAATGAATCACTGGGCATGCTGATTTCTTCTGAAAGTGCCGTGCACAGCATAACTTATATACATAAAAAATACAATATAGAAAATATCTGCTGGTGAAACCCAGGCCTCAACAAAAGCCAGTGCAGCCAAGTCCATTCTGCCATTTGGTGTAGTTAGATATTTACCTATGAAATTTCACATCCTTCAGTGAA